CAAATAATCAAGTGTGCAGAAAGGCCTCACAGCCAGCGCATGGAAACTCAGCCACCGGGGCACAACAAACTCTGCATGGCATTTAGTTCTGGCTGTTAAAATCATTTCTACTCAGTTCAAGAGTTTTGAGTGGCTGTGGCATAGAGAAGTTTCAGTGCCAGGGGTATTTACAAACCACGTGTGCCCTACTAAAATTCTGAATGAACCTGGCTAATGAACAGAAGTTCTCTTTGGAAGGGCTGAAATCTTTGTGTCTGACCATTAACTTTAAACCACAGGTTTAATTCATAAGATTTCCTCTCAAGTGCCCATCAACATGCAGCAAAATCTGTCAGGGAGACACTTCACAGCAAGGCTGCTCGGAAAAACACAAGACAATGAAACAAGGCGTGCACAGCTATCGGCCCTCAAGTAACCCACCTTCATTAGCTTCTGGTCTAGAATTCTTGATAAATGCAGAAAATTTGGCAAATATATCCATTCCAGCAGTGTTTGATTCTGGATGCTTTGGTGAAAGTTTTAGGTACCTAAAAAGTAGAAAGGAGTAGATCTACAGCACATTTAGCAGAATGATGCTCATGGTACATTAACTAGCACAAAACGGCCCTTTTTTTAAAAAAAAAAAAGTTTCTACATCATGTGCATTTACCAATTTATCTGTTTTCAGATTCATGTGGAGGACTTGCTCCTAAAGTGTAGTATCACACACTTCCATTTAAGTTAAGATTTTTAAACCCAACGCTTTTTTAATCACTTTTCAGAGGAAAACCAAAGCATATTTCTGCTTTCTAAATCAGGCATTTGTTTCAAGGACAGAGGGTCTGAAACAGCCCAGGGTCACAAAAGCCAGCTCCCTTACCCTAGCACAGCAGTGCTCCCAAGGGGGCAAACCACAGCTCTGTACACAAGAATGTAGCTAGGGATCAAACAGGTAACAAATTAAATACTCCTGTCCAGTCTCTGTTCACTGGAGATTTTTTTTTAATTATTTAAATTAATATCAGCTGTCCCAGAACATCACAGACTCCAAATCTTTTAACAAAAAAGAAAAGTCTTGGCACACTAAAAAGCCAAAACAGTTCAGTGTGCTAAAGGCAGCGTCTGCATTTTCCCATTGCCTGCCAGCTGAGGGAGAAGAAAGCCAACAGTTTAGAGAAAGCTTGAATGCATTTCTCATGCTTGAGCTGTGTAATCTAATTATTTTTAAAAGTGTTCAGTATTTTTCACTATAATTTCCAAATACTAAATAACAAGGCTCCAGGACTCATCATCATACCTAGTATGAAGCAATTAATTTTTTAAAAAATTACTTCCAGGTTGCATTTAATAATCACTGGTTCTGTACAACTACCAACTGTCCCTCTGCTTACAGAAAGCTGGAAGGAATAAAAAAAAAAATTTAACATTAAATCCAAGTTCTCTGATATTTTTTTTAGAACAAGATAACAACAAATTCTTGAAGACTTAAATAACACCTTACTTCTAGAAGAATGACTGCAAATACAAGTCTCCAAAAGGACACTGCACATCTCCTTAAACAGATTCCCACAACAGTTTATTACGGAGTCAGGACTAAGTTTTGTACAACAGGCTCATTCTCATCTACATAATTTGGACATATCATCAGAATGGCTTGCCTCAGTCATCAAAAGTCATTTAGTTTGAAAACTGCAGGAAGGATAACAGGACTCTACAAAGGGCAATTTTAAAATAATCTTTAAAAGAAAAGTTTGTAATATAAAGATGAGGGAGCTGGAGGGAGAGAAGGTATGACAAGCAAGAACCCCAAGCTATTTTCAGTGTTTTATCTTCACTTTATTGATGCTAAAGAACATCTTAATCAGTGCAGAAAACCCCTCTGAGAACACTCCATCTAATCTAAAGTGACAAATTATCATTTTAACACTTACTTGGGTGGAGCCAAAACATCTTCCAGGAACTCTTCAATCTTATTCACATCTGTTTTCACTTCTCCATTGTAAGTTATGAAGGGTGGATGAGTGCCAGGAGCCAAATTTTGAAGGTCTGCTGGTTTTCTAGGGTGAAATACAAACCAGTACACAAGTAAGCATGTGACATCCGTGACCCTAGCTTTCACTGCTACAATCACAAAAGCACTACCTCAGGTTTTCACATCCTTGCAGTTTTAAAAAGGTATCACCACTTTTCTTCTTAAAAAGCGACTTTACAGCTTGATTAGCATTTTAAACACATACTTGGTAACAATTAAACATCAAATACCTGAAAACATGTACTTCCTTCTACCTCTGGCTGTGTTTTTTCTCAAGTCAATATAATGTTGACTAGTGGGGGGATACATACACACCACACAAACACATTCTCTCTTTCCCCAGATCTGCAGTAGAGTTTATATATAGCGTAATCTGTGATCAGTGGTAATCCTCCCCCTTTACACAGAGCTTCTCTGGAAACAAGCAAGTCTGATACAGAGCAGTATGTATAAACCATTTATTATGTGCACACAGAATCTGGTTCTAAACAAGTTGACAGATGCTTAAACATCATGTTTAAAAAATGATGCTTAAAGCTCCCTCCAGTGAAAAAACTGTTTACAAATAAGAGCAGCACTCTTGGGCAAAGGAAGGAGAATCCCCGACATCAGTACAGCTAGACATAAGAGAAACACCATCACGCTAAAATACTCAGCTATTTCTAAATCTTCAGTCAGTTTTGGCGATACCTCTCACTGTTCACTCCAGCTCCTTTCACAGTAATCAAGCTAAGCCAGCCTGTTTTATAAGCAACTGGTTTCTCTCTCCCCTAGTTGTGCCTTGATGCTGCAGTGACATGGAACAACACTGCAGGCATTTGTTTAAAGCCTGTATGTCAGCTGCACTTATACCTACCTACTCCTTCACCCCAAAATGTCTAACTTACTCTTTAATGTAAAGCTCTCACATCTGCCTCATCAGCAGGTTCAGCTGCAAAGTTGAAGTCAGCCATAAGATGTAGATCCATTACAAGCTATAAAATTCAAAGCATCGTCTAAAAAGCTGCAGCCAATTTTTCCCCAGTAAATCATCATGGTATTAGTTATCCCCATGCAAGTGCAACTGTCTCAGCACCAGCAGAAATAAAGTTACAGTACTGCTTGGCACTTCTTCAGCAGCAGCACTTAAAACTTCCCTCTGATGAAGTTATTGACTACAGGCCAGGATGACTGCTCAGGACACAGTCTAGCTGCTCAAAGAACCTCTCCACACTTTGGAGGACAGTCTGCAATTCTAGTGCCTCAGACCATCCCCAGTACCAACACCCACGATCCAGATGAGGCACAGAATTACACTTCTGTCAGGCTGACCAGAGCACACGGTACAGGATGACCAACCCCCTTTTGCTGGCGTCATGCTGCATGAGGAACAACAAACTGATCCTGCAGACAGTTTGCCGAGATAAAGTTGCCCCTTTGTTACTGTTTGAACAAACCCAAACTGGACCGTGACCCTTGAACTGGGTTTGTGCTCTGTACAACGCAGCCACATTTCTGAGCCAGCACCAGGATTTACTGGATACTGGAACTACAGTCAAGAAAGCCTCCTGACTGTACTCCACAGGGAAACTGGCTTAGGAATACACACACACGTGCTCATTCAGGGCAGCATGGCAAAGCAGTGTTTTCAGGAATAGCACTCAGACTTTAAGCTAAGCACAGTTTACAAGTTTATCCTGTAGAAACGTTGCTCTCAATTTCTGACAAAAACCCCTGTCAGAATCTCACGTCCTGCCCACTGACGAGCCTTTTAAGCAGGGCAAACAGCAACAGTATATTGCGCCAAAGCGTACTTAGGACAGACACAGGTACTTGGCTACGTAAAACTGAATGAAAATGGATTTTCATACTTAAGAACATTAAACTCTGCTTTTAGCCAGGTGACAGACATCTCATTAATACAAGAATTTACCCATTTTCAATTTTTAAGCTTCCAAGAAGTTATTTCTCACTAATAGTTGCCATTGCCCTCTTACTTTTAGAATTTAAAGTCTGTCATCAGTTAATGCTTTAAGTAGCTTAACGCTTCATTTAAATACAGCTTTGTAGCCCACAATTACAGGAAGTCCTTGTGGCTCCCTTCCAGTTTTGCATGTTGGCTAGATAAAATTCCTCAAAAGGAATGTTATTTTAAAAACAAACACAGGCAAGACCACCAGATTTGCAGTAATGCTATCAAAGGAAAGGTTTTATTTCAGAAACAGACTAGTCTAATGAACTAACCAAAAAAGTTTTCCAAAGAATCAGAGTGCATCTCAAGGATCCCAGACCATTTTATTAACCCCTCTTGCCACTCCAGTCAGACCACCTGCATCTTTCAAGAAAAAGAAAGCAGAGATTAACACCCCACAGCCAAAGCCCAAACATAATACAGGGTTTGACTTCCAGTTGGCTACTCTTGCCAGCAGATCATAAACAAACCCTGGTTTACCACATACAAGCCACAGCCTTTAGAGCACCACGAGTACACAGGAATATCCTTCAAAGGCTAAAAGTACAACTTCCCTTAATAGTCAAACAAGAATACAATTAAAAAATATTAGAGTGAAGTTTACTTCAGAGGTAAAACTGGACAGGGTTTTTTTTTTTTAAAAAAAAAAAACAAACAAACCACAAACAGACTTCCATAACCACTCAAAACAATTCCATGATAGCTAGTACCTGCCTCAAAGTTTACCAGGGTATTTGGAGGTAGAGCCACACCTTAAATACTTCACTATCACTACCTAATTAAGTGGGCAAGCTCTTTAACATCAGAGTTAAGCTACAGACATTTCATGGCTTTGCCACAAACTAGAAGAGAAATTAGCATTCAAATAATTTATTGAAGATCAGACAAAAGCCAGCCCCCAAATGTAGTATGCTCTACAGTGATTTATAAATTATACAAGTACTGCAATGAATGTTTGAAGAGTAACATGAAAAAAAAAAAATGCCAGCAATAAAACCCCCTTGTCTCCACTTCCTAAGCGGCATTTTTACACTGCTGAAGTTGCATTCACCTCTGGGCAGTCTTTAATATTTACTAATCTCTTTATTTAATCTTTTTCTGTCAACAGAATTGTAAAACCACACAATCAAGATGTTTAAAATAGGATTTCAAAACTCAACTGAATGCAAGCTGGCCTTGAATGTTGTTACAAGCCCAACAAATGGTTTATGTACTGCAACTCTGCTCCAGTCACAAGCACAAGTCAAATCTCTGAGCACTGAAATGCTGCTTCTGAAAAAGGAAAGAATACAGCCTCTGTCTGACTGAGTAGAAGCAAGAAATGCATGATTTCTTTGAAAGGGCACTATGTCCCACTTTGCCTATGTGCATATTTTTGTGTCTTAAGAGCAGAACTGAGAACTGCAAAATGTTCTTTTGTTAGCACAGTATCATGTCCAATGCAATTATGGAAGGGAAAAATACACACCAGAGAGTCACTCAAATCAGACTCAGTTTTTCCTGTGTCCCAAGTCACTTGTGAACTTTTGTACCCAACCACGACCTTTTAAGCCTGACAAACAGACAGAGTTTGCCTCACTGTTGTGCAGAAATCAGGCTATGAGAATGAGGCAGAAGCATGGTTTGCAAGTAAACCCTTTTTCTTTTTTTGGCTAGCAAAATAAATTCAGAGGCCTAAAACCACTACTTCTCAGCTCTTCAACAAGTTTCTGGCTTTAACAGGAACAAAAAGAAGAGAATAACATACCTGTAAAAGCAGTTTCTTGGGACAGTATTTGACATATTTAAGGCAACATCTAGCACCTATTTTCACTCTGGTAACACTAACAGGGCAAAATCACCGTCTGGCATAAAACATTTCCACTTGAGCAGTTAGCTGAATTTGACATTCTGCAAGTTCCACTACTCTACAAGTGGGTATTAAGACAACCCAGAACATTAAATTTGTATTTATGAAGCTTTAAATGAAGCCTAAAAGGAATTTAGTTTGTATCAATGTCTATTCAAATCTGAATTGGCTTCAGTGGTCCTTCTTTTTCTTTACCAGAAAATACATTCAGTGTACAACAAAAAGGTAGAGTTCATTTGACCTATTCCCACACAGCTTTTTTAGTTTGTGTTTTCCCCCCCTCAATATAAAAAAAATAAACCAACCACTAGAAAGCTTTCCTTGTGTAAGAAAGGACAATTTTAAACATCTGTAACCAATTTATACTCTAAAAGTTAGTCTTACACCCCATTCCCCCATCCAATTAACTCAAAGTTGCCAAAGGGACATAAATAAGGCCAATTCATCAGGCATCTCCGGCATTTTAATGGTATCTCTCAGACTGGCTCAGCAGTAAAAATGCTTCCAAGTATAAAATGTCTCTTTCAACCTTCTTCTCACCCCACTCCCCCACCTCAATAACTGCAATAGGTTAAATAACACCATCATTAAAAGTAGAGGAAATCCAAAACTACAAAAAGGACACAAGCACCAGTTCTACTCCGGAGGTTTCCATAAACCACACGCAGTGCTAAATGGAAGATAGGATATATTTGGTTTATGTGTGCTGGCAGCAACAATTATATTTGCAGTAAAATCCCACATTGGCCAGAGAAGATCTTTGAGCTGCTACAAACGCACACACAGTTGACAAAAGCTGCTTTCTCCCCCTCCGAGTGCTCTGCCTCAGCCTCACTACACATGGAAATATTTACCACTAGTTGCCAGCACCGAAGCAGCAACTTCAGTCATTTTTTAAAACGTCACCTCCTTCAAAAATATTACAAGAAGAGGTTAAGTCTAGCAGGGTGATTTCTTTCTTACACATTTTTACACTAGATTCATTGGTGAACACTGTATATTTCTATTGGCTTTATTTCTGAAAATAAGGTTTGTAAGTGCTGGCAGTCTCTCCTCTCTCCAGAGAGTTCAGTGACTAACATTACATTAGTGCTGTGAAAACATTACTTCACACCAAAACCAAATACAAGGCCTCTGCTGAATTTAGCATTAACACTTCTAATAAAAGTACACCCAACATTAGGAAACTAAGACTCCTGGATTAACATCTCACCTTTCTCAGCCACTAAGGTTTTCATTTCATAGATGGAGAAGCTGCAATTTAGGTGGCACACACAGCACCACGACATATCTGGCTAACACTGTACAAAGGCAGCATATTTTACATTTTATTCCTACCCATTTCCCTTCTATTTCACTCGTATTTACCTCATGGGCAGTTATTTTCACATTGTTTTGATTCTTATTGCATAATAAGCAATATTATCTTTAAAAAGAGGAGTAGGCCGCATGTTATTTGTGACAGTTACCCAATAGCCATCGGAGATTTGGTCAAAGATTGGTTGATCTAAAATACCCATCCAGCAGTCTCCACTTGGGGGATCTTGATGTGAAGTTAGTAAGATTCAGTATTCTATTATAAAAGACTCCATGTCAGCTGTTAGTTTTACAGGAGAAGAGTATCATTTAACAAATTCAAGAGAATTTATCAGACCCATTATTTTTGGTTATGGATACTCATAAATAACCGTCAATGAATGCACCACCTACATCAAGGTTGCCTCTTACTATTTATGAGGACAGAGTTTCTTTTTCATTTCAGGAAAGAAGTCATGCAAGATTTAGAAGCCCCAGACAAACATTTCTATACCAAGCGTACTGCATTCTTGCTTGTCAGATAAGCCAAGAATTTCTTACCTCTTCAGGTCAACTGTTGTGACACTAAACACCACTCCCTTCAGCCACAGGATCATAAACAGCCGCTGAGAAAAAGGACAGTTTCCTATGCTTTCACCATCACTGCCAGCCTGCAGAAGAGAATAGATCATTAATTAGAAGGTAGGACTATGCCATCGAACTATGCTCACAATTACAGAAAGATCTTTATTTAAAGACAGACTCAGTAACAAATCATGGGGTTTACTGCCTTTACTGTCTTCATATCACTACACTCTTCCAATCAAAGATTTATCAGGCTTACAGTCAAACCTAGTATCATCTTGTAGGAACACTCCTTTGCTCTCAAAGTCCAGCTGACACACCTGGACCAGATATCCTGAAGGAATCTCCACATAATGCACAAAGATGCATCCTCAGAGTATTTAAATACACTTCATATACTGGAACGGTACACATGGATTTCAGCATCATTTTGGAGTGGGGTTTTTTCTTTGTTTGTTTTGTTTTGGTACTTGCACCTTCCAATGATGTTTTTTGCTGCAGACATCATGAGGATTTTATTACAGAGAAATCTGCACATTTATGAAGTCAACTAAGCTATGTTAGTTCACCATGACAACTAACCTATTTACTTGTCATGTCCTCCAACAGCTGCTCACACAATGTATCAAAACAAGACTTCAAACAACAAAATAAATTATCTTTCACACACTGAAGATGATCCAACTGCTCTTAAGGGCAAGGTCAAGACAGCACAGCTAATCATATTCGTCTGAGCAGCCACACCTTTTGATAACAGTTCTCCAATGTCAATATTGTTCTTTGTTATTTATTATTCTTTTTGCCTTCTGCAAGGCATAGCTAGTTACTTGTAGTCATCTTCCAGCTTACTGCTCATATCTCTCACTGTGCAGTGCTATAACGAGGCAACCGCAACCAGGAACTATGGATCTTTATTGTATTGCAGGTGTTGTAAGGAAAGACATAACTGTAAGTACATAGAGACTTCACTGACAATAAAGTAATATTCCAAAGCCACTTTTTATAGGCAATTTATCAGTAAGTCTTTGTCCTACCACAACAAAGGTCCATTACATAGCAACAGCAAGCCACTCCAGGGCACCCAGTGATGGCATGCATCTCATGATTGCTCTGACAATGAAGTACGTATTGCTGAGTTGGAAAATTTTAGTTTTTAGTGGGCTAGAAACACACAAAACCTTGAATCTTGTGATAAAATTCAATCCTTTGAAAACTGGTTCAGTAGTTACAACAGCCATACACATCAGATTATTCTAATAATAATAAGCAAAATCCTTTGAAACATGTCAAGGTAATTTTAACCAATACAATTCTCAAAACCTGGCTAATTCTTTCATCATTACTATCACCAGTTCCCTAGGCCATTTAAAAACACAGTGTAAGATATGCTGGCTGTACCCCTCAGAGAAATGACAGAAAACAATTATGTTCACTAAGCACAGGGTACTTAGAAGCAGAGCTACACAAGTGGAAGGGCTGAAGACAAGGCCGGAGCATGGACTGGTAGATATCCAGCGTTTTAAAATAGAGGGGGTGAGAGGGGCTGGGAGAGAGAAGAGAAGAAAAGCCAACAAAAAGTATCATCACAAGAGAACTAAGCTTTAGGGACAGAACTAGCCAGAGAAAGGTTTAGACACTCAGGCAAAAGAACTACTTTTTCTTCAGTTCTCTGCCAGTTCCCAGCCATGCACCGAGTGGGGCCACAGTGGGGAGAATGAAGAAAGACTTCGCAAGTTAAGATGACTAACACTAGGATTTTCTAACAGCAGGATTTTTAAAGATCAGGAAAACCAAGTTTTCCAGTGAAACTGTCTTAAATTCAGAAAGCTATTTTATCTTTTGAAAACTCATGGTGCCTTTGCAGATAAGGCTGAGATTCCTTTAATAGTTGTTGATAAACCCCAGGACACAAGGATTCATAAACTGATTTATGTTTCCTCAAGCTTATGGTCTCATTTCTACAAGCATCCCTTCTGTCAGAGCTGGCATATCCTTCCGAACACTTTGCTGTGGAGAATATATAGAGCCATTTCTCTTCCAGCCTTTATTAGTGTCATTAATGAAGATCTGAAAGAAGAAATAAGTTATCTTTCTGCCATAAAATACAAATTGCCTCCTTTATCGTTGGAAAGTAAAGCTTGCAGCTGATTAATGATACTAGACTGTCTTAAAAACTGGCATGTGACTTCTGAGCATTCAGGAGTCTAAATTCTAGAAGCATTACAAAAAGGATAAAACAGTCAGTTTGGTTACTCTGGGCATTCTGCTTCATACTAGCTCAACCCACAATCTTCTACTGTGCACCTAACTGCTGTAAGGATTCCAGCTCCTATACGGATTAATGTGTTCCCACCTCACAAGATGAAGACAGACTTCACTCCGCAGTCTACTTCCCATAGCTGTATGCTTTTATGGATGTTAATATTTAACTGCAAAGCCACCCCTCCCAATAGCAGTGTGTATTTCAGAATTTTCCACTATAGTTACATTACTGTGTTTACACTGGAACAGACATTTCCTGCAGGTAAATTATGCTAACGTAGACTTACACTCATCTACCTTTGCCACATGCAAGATCTAGTCTACCTTTGAAAAACGGTATTGGAAAAAACAACACTTGACCCCATCTAAGGAAAATATGTTTTGTACTGCTCGGGCTAATCCACAGTTAAAGCAGAAACAATTCTTTGAGTCAGAACTGATCTCAGTCTTCAAGTTTTATGGCCACTTCCACAATGCTACCAAACCCAAAGCAGAGGAGTTACGCCGCAGTGACAGCACAGGCGTGCGCGTCCCCAGCCAGTTAAGGTTTAGTCACCTCCTCTGACGGAAAAGCTGCCGCGCTTTCACCATAAAGCAAAAGGAGGGATGTGGGCATTTACCAAAGTGCAACACCCGGGCAGCATAAAGCCATACCTCGAGGCACCTCACGGGAACTGCCTACACTGCTCTTCTCAGGTGACTCTGGAGCTGCCGCTGCCGCCACACCCAGCAGGTCTTCAGCCCCTTTTGCTCACATGAGCCACCCTGACAGGAGCCAGTACTTGACCTAGTCAGGATTAGCTCTCCTCGCTCTTCATCTTTTATTTAGGACTTCTGACTTCAAAACCAGAGACCAGAGCTGGTGCAATATGACCCACATTGCCAGTGATCCAATCTGATGCAGACTAAGGGCACGTTTGAATAGAAAAAATAAAGGCATGTAACCAAAGGAAGAACCATTGGGATGCGACTGCCTGCCATCAACATACAGATGATCCTCAGAACCAAACAAAGTCCAGAGGCTTAGCTTCAGTACTGCAACATCAACAACTGCAATTGCAGCATTTCCTGAGGAAAGTATTAAGTTAAATAAGCACTAGTCAGCTCCTCTAATTTCAAACCAATACTTGAAAACGCATAAATAGTGTCCTATGGGACAACAGGCAAGCATCTAAATGACAGCTAGTTTTTACAAGTCACTTTGTGAGTTGCAAAACATAACTTTAAAAAACCCATTGCAGAGGGCTAAGAGCTTTAAAGATATATGATCCATCATCAGATGTACAAAGAAATCACTCAGAAGCCTAGAACTAAAATACTTTTGGTGATAGCATCAGATGAAAGAGTAAAATGGTCCCTCTATGAACAAAATAAACTTTGCAGACAGAACCAAATATGAAGGTTTGTTAATACAGAACTTCAGAGCTTTTCCTGAACTCAGGAATGAGCACAGCACTGAACTGTGGCTTGCATTAAGGTCCACTTTCCTAAGCCAAAACCAAAGCGACCAACGAGGACCAAAAAAGGTCAAATGCATTTATGCTGTAATGCCAACTTGTTCCAAAACTCTTCTTCTCTCCCAACACAAGCGTAACATCCAAAATGAACAAACAACGAACAGCATCTGCTTTTGTTTAAGCAAGACAGGCTTTTTTTGGATTATTTGAATCAGAAAAAAGGATTATAGCCCACTAACATACAGTGCTTTGGACAAAAACTAATGCATTTTCAAAGTTGCAGCTGAACAGCTAAGCTGAGCATAGACTTTTATGTCTACATTCAAACGTTTGTCCCACTTCTGCTCCAAAAAGTCCCAAGTTATTCTGAGCACATACTGGAAAAGGAATGCAGTCAGAATGCCAAGAAACTTTTGGCTTCAGTGCTCTTGAGCCAAGGAATTCTGCAATGTAACTGTTTGCCCGAGAGGCCCGTTTTCTGTCTTCTTCTATCTGATGCACTGAGAGCTACAGCACAGATCTGTTACAACCAGTCATCAAAAGCAGCACCGTGCTGGCGATGCAACACATTATTCCCCTTCAATCACTTCAGGATTTTTTCCAGAGGGAGACAACTCTGGTAGATGTTTCTGCCAGAGTCAGTTCTGTCTGGTTTTCACCACTGAAATACAGCTGTGCTGGCAGTAAACTGTAAACCTTTAAATATTACAAGAACATTCTGAAATTTTACATGACTAGTCTTGCAGGGGCTTAATCATATCACAATCATTGCTTAAGCCCACTGTCAGAAGCCAGAAACCTGTCATTGCCTTGTCTTTGAATTCACAATTCCACAATAATATTCCACAATATCTTCAGTGTCTAATCAGAGTAAAGAAAATACTAAATGTTGACTTCTGTAGACTAACATCAGCCTAGATTATTTGTTAATTCAACATTATTATGTTGATTATACTCATTCTATACCGAGAAGCTTTGAGGTTTTATTTCAAATTCTTTCTAAAACCAGTTTAAAAATCTTTATTACTAAATAATAACAGCTGTCCTACAATTATGGCTAATTTTCAGTTATCACAACCAAATCAAGCTACCACTAGCCACTGAAGGGCACGTACTCAAGAACATCATCATATATCTGTTTCACTGAACACCAGGTTTTCACTGGTATGGATTAAGACCAGACAGAAAAAAGCGCACCACCACACACAGCAAGGAAACGTGGTATTTTTCACTTGTGAGTATTTTGCTTAAGGAGTATACTGATTGAGAACCAGCTTTAATTTACCACCAGGGAAAGTACCTTGGCAAACACAGTGTTTAACTTGACCATGACCCATGGCCAACTCCTGCCATGCTAGAGATGCCATCGAGCATTCTGAAGAGCTAAC